GTAACACACATGTAGTGTGCGTGGGTGTGTGGGTGTAACACACATGTAGCGTGCGTGGGCGCGGGTGTAACACATATGTAGCGTGCGTGGGCGCGGGTGTAACACATATGTAGCGTTGCCTGCTGTAGGCGGACGTTCGTTCGCTTGTTCGCGCGTACTTCTCGACTTGCAGCGCAGTCTTTCTCAATTCCAGCAGCAGGTGCTTTGCTCTGACCTCCTGCTGCGCGGCGGCCATGGTCTCCCGCGTCGCATCCAGCTGTTCAGCAGCACCCTGCCAGTAACCAAGACAACAAGGAATCCTTTACACAGCTGCACAGTGAAGTTACTGCTGCATTCCCATCATCGTGTCTCTCCACCCGCTAACCCTGCCTCTCTCTTTCACACACACACACACACAGCCACGTACCTGTAACTCTGCTGTCATGTCTGATATATTAGTATCGTGTCTCTCCACCCACTAACCCTGCCTCTCTCACACACACACAGCCACGTACCTGTAACTCTGCTGTCATGTCTGATATATTAGTATCATGTCTCTCCACCCGCTAACCCTGCCTCTCTCTCACACACACACACAGCCACGTACCTGTAACTCTGCTGTCATGTCTGATATATTAGTATCGTGTCTCTCCACCCGCTAACCCTGCCTCTCTCACACACACACAGCCACGTACCTGTAACTCTGCTGTCATGTCCGATATCTCAGCATCATGTCTCTGCCTCTCCATCAACCTCTCGTCACGCACAGAGTTGTACTCTGCCTGCAGCACCTGTAAAACAACAGCAACGTGTGTACCAACGTTGTAAGACGCTACCACGCACGCACGCATGCACACACACACACGAATGCATGCACGTACACACACACGCATGCACGCACGCACACACGAATGCACGCACGCACACACACACACGAATACACACACGAATGCACATACGCACAGACGCACGCATGCACATACACACGTGAATGCACACACGCACACACACACATGCACGCACACACACACACACGAATGCACGTATGCACACACACACGCACGCACACACGCGAATGCACGCACGCACGCACGCACACACTTTCGATGTTCTCTCATGTTCTCATTCTGCTGTGAGCAGTAGTGGTGCTTACCTCGAGATATTCTCGTATCTCCTCCATCTCTACAGACATCTTGCTCACACTGGTTCCTGTCACGCTGAACGACCTCTTCAGCTTGTCATGTTCCGTCAACGATTTAGTCAACGATTCGCTCGCCTGCACGAAATAGAGACCGTTTGTACCTCTTACATTTTTCTGATGATAAATAATAATAATTCATGATAAAATTACTAATTTTTTAACTAAATTATTAAAAGCATATATATACAGTTAAGTATTTCATGCACTTTGCCCCTTACTTCCTTTTATAATTTATGATAAAATTTCTAATAATTATTTAACTTAATTATATACAATTTTAACTTCGTGCAATATTAACTTTCTTATATACAATGAAGTATTTCACCCAATGAAATTTAGTTTTAATATTTATTGATTATTTTAGAATTACTTTTATTTATTCTTAAACATTTTTTTAAAGTTTTAATTTTTAAATTAAATTTTAATTAATATTTATTTATTTATTTTATGCAGTCATGCAATAAACGAGCGGCGCCAGAGAATCATGCTCCCCCACCAAGGAATTAATAACAGGATCGGTCATGTTCATAAAACCTCCTGTAACAGTGCGCCGGAATGTTTAAATTAGAAATTGTTTATTTTATAATTATTCTCCCATATATATATACTAGCTGGGCTACCCGGCGATGCCCGGGATTTTTTGGGGGTTACTGCTTTTCTGCTATTTCATGCGTTTTGTGCTATTGCTTGCGTTTCGCGCATTTCATGCGATTGCCTGATTTTGAGCCTGACTATAGTTGACGCGCTGTTTGCTGCTCTAGGATTCGCTCTTGACTTTTTCTTCTGCAGTGTATAGTCGAGCGCAGGATTGCTGTTATTGTTAACTTTTCTGCCTGCGCTAGTATTTTTTTGGGGGAATCTGGGCCCAATCCTATTTTGACAACCCCAGGTTTAAAAACCCTAACCCTAACCCTAACAAACTCACGACATGGGTGTGTAAACGCTACTTTGACGCAAATCTGTTGTTTGTTTTTTTTGCCCTTAATTTGGCGTTTTTGTGCAAATTGTTTTTGGCTTAAAATGGTCGTCGCATCATGGTGATGAGAAATACCTCACGGGTGACCTCTTCTGGTCTCAAGAAGACAGACAGACAGATAGAGCATCCGCGCGATTGTTATTGTAGGAGATAATAACGAAAACTCGAAAATACGAAGTACCTGAGTGCCTGCGAAAAAAAATAAGCAGCACGTTGAGCATTTATACCTATTCCAGCAGTAGTCATGTACGACGCTTTTGTCTCTCCTTCGCAAGCTAAAGTTTGTTTAATAGAACTTAACAAAAATAGTCGACAATACAGCTAGAAAAATACGCGCGTCAAAATGGCAAACTTCAACATGCAGTTGATGATCAGCACGTGAACGGCATTAGCGCCACCTCGCGCGACATTTCTTTAAAATAATAAATAATTTTAATTGTAATTTTAAACTTTTTTATTTTGTGTATTTTTTTATTTTTTGGACCTTGCCTTACGGGGGGGAAAAGATAGTCAGAAGGACAGACACAAAAACAGGCTCGCCCTTTATATGAGATATATATATATATATATATATACATTTCCTACGTAACGACGTGTATGCGATTTGCACTGCAACGACAAACAGGATGTCAGTTCTCACACAGACCGAACACACCGCGCTGACCCGGCACCGTATTTATCGATCGCAAGCGGCCAGCGTAGAAAATCGCACAGTGTCCTAACTGAGTAGATGCAAACCCGGATGTAGACACGTACGTACGCGACGGGGTGCAGCACACACTGACCTATATATGTTATAGTGACGCCAAAATCCTAGGCGTACTTGTCGCAACCTACAACCATGTTTTAATGAACCCATACACCTTAAGGCGGGCTTATGTCGGGCTTGCGACCCGACTCAACTGGAAGCAACTGGCTGCAACTTCACTGCGACAGTAGGGCTTAGCGATCGCGTCGACTGCGACGCCGACTGCCTGCGACGGCCAGCACTAGTTGCTCGATAGAACAGTTGCGGCAACTGCGACGAACTAGTCGCTGCTGATCGCTTCAGTTGCTCGAAATCCAGTTTCTTCAGTAGAGTCGGCTCGCTAAGCCCGACATAAGCCCTGTGTTTAGTACGCGCCACAGAGTACGCGCCCTAACGGCGTGCCTTGGTTTCCTAACTGCGTAGTCGCCGTTGCCAGAGAAAAGAAAGATGGACGCCTGAGCCCAGATGGGACTTGGCGATAGAGCTTGTGCAACGTGCATCGCGCACGAGATAAAAGCGGCCACGCCAGCGGCGAGAGGAGACACAGCAAGGAAAACAGTTAGGAGGAGCTGAGTCGTGCCAGCACGCGCGCGGCAGCGGCGTTGACACCGCCGAGTAGTTCGGGCGTGGCATGTAGCCACACGTACTCAAGTCATAACTCATAGCTCTATACGGAGAATAAATCATCTAGTCTGTTACAACAAAGACGTATTATCTTTACTGTGATCTTCATTGTCACTCGTCTTACAGCGGAAGAGAGACAAAGAGAAGCTGACATCAAGCGGAAACGCAAACACGTAACGAGACAACGGGTTAAGAACAATAACACAACACAAGGTTTAGAACATTACCTGACTATACGATACGACACGAGCATCATTTCACTCCTAGTGCTGTGTGTCTCACCCTCTCTTTCTTTCTTTATTGCTTCCTTTCTCCCTCTCCCTATCTCTCCCTTGCTCCGTCTCATTATCTCTCTCCCCTCGCTCGCTCTCGCTCTCTCTCACTAACATACCCGTCTGAATTTCTCCTTGTACTCGTCTCTCTCTCTCTCTCTCTCTCTCTCTCTCTCTCTCTCTCTCTCTCTCTCTCCCCTTCGCTCTCTCTCTCACTGACATACCAGTCTGAATTTCTCCTTGTACTCGTCTCTCTCTCTCTCTCTCTCTGTCTCTCCCCTTCGCTCTCTCTCTCACTGACATACCAGTCTGAATTTCTCCTTGTACTCGTCTCTCTCTCACTGACATACCAGTCTGAATTTCTCCTTGTACTCGTCTCTCTCTCTCTCTCTCTCTCTCTCTCTCTCTCTCTCTCTCTCTCTCTCTCTCTCTCTCTCTCCCCTTCGCTCTCTCTCACTGACATACCAGTCTGAATTTCTCCTTGTACTCGTCTCTCTGTTCCCTCAGCTTCCTGTTCTGTGCTTGTTGTAGCTGTAGACTGCTGAGCTGCTTGCTAGCCGCCGCCTCTCCTCCACACTGTGTCTGCTGGTTGCGCAGCCGCCGCGCCACCGTCTGCACGCTCTCGTGTTTCACCGCCCTCGGCCGCGCGCCGCTAGCGCCATCTGCTGGGAGAACGACAACGGAGGTGCATTGCGGGAATGGGGAAAAGTTATCGTCTTTAACGACTAGAGATAATGTTATTTTTGACTCCAAAATATGCGAGTGAAATGAGAAAACTGTTCTGACATGTATCACTCGTGTATTACCTGTAAACCTGTTCATCTATAACTGCCGCCAACTATTATACATACATATCAGGGTTTCTTATACGTAAGAGGCACAGTGGGCGCACCGCCGTTGTCCAATTTAACATCGCCGTTGTGAAAAATGTTCCTATATTTACTGATAAGTATATCCTGTATATATACCTATAAGTATATCAATACATCCTGTATTTGAATCCATCATGCGCGTTTTTTCCCCAAACTGGCCATTACCTCCTTGTCTAATTTCCCTCAGAAGAAACCCCGCATATGCATATATACCGACCGACCGACGACCGACCCGGACTGGACCGAACTGACCGACCCGAACTGGACCGGACCGACCGATTCAGGACTGCGACCGAACGAGCCGACCTGGACTGGACCGGACCGACCGATCCGGACTGGACCGAACCGACCGACCTGGACTGGACCGGACCGACGATCCGGACTGGACCGAACGACCGACCTGGACTGGACCGGACCGACCGACCCGGACTGGACCGGACCGACCCGGACTGGACTGGACCGAACTGAACCGACCCGACGACGACCGACCGACCGACCGACCGACCGACCGACCGCATGCCTGCCTGCCCACCTATCCATTTATCTTTTAATCTAACCCATTTATTCTTCAATGTTTCCTCTTTTCATCCATCCATCTACACGCACATAAATTACAATACTTGACGGTACATGACTACAATTACCATCTATATACCAGACATGACATCGAGGGCATTAACCTAAATGTGGTGTATGTCAACAACAGAAGCAATATACACATACACAGGCATGCACGCACACACATGCACGCATGCACAGGCACACGCACACACATGCACAGGCACAGGCACACGCACACGCACACGCACACGCACACGCACACACATGCACACATGCAAGCCTATAAACACACGCACACGCGCACACATGCATGCACAGCTACACATGCACGCACAGGCATACCTTTCTCTCCTGCTTGTCGGTTTCCTGCACCCGCGTGCCCCTTAACAACATTGCCAACTTGGTCGTGAACATCTGGCGCCATGGTTGGGTCTGCCACCGCCATTTTTGGGTGCATCGCCATGTCAGTGTCCGCTCGTTCTGCTTGTGACGTAGACACGGAGTCCATAATACCATCCTCCATAGAGGAATCAGCTGTTCTGCCTTCCTCATCAGGTGGCGACACCATCTTAGGCAGACATTCTCCTTCTACGACGTCGCTTCCTGCACCAGTGCCCTCTACGACAATGTCGTTTCCTTCACCGGCGCCATCTACGACAATGTCGTTTCCTTCACTGGTGCCCTCTATGACATTGTCGTTTCCTTCACCGGCGCCCTCTATGACAATGTCGTTTCCTTCACTGGCGCCCTCTATAACAATGTCGTTTCCTTCACTGGCACCCTCTATGACAATGTCGTTTCCTTCACTGGCGCCCTCTATGACATTGTCGCATCCTTCCCCGGCGCCCTCTACGACAATGTCGCATCCTTCACCAGCGCCCTCTATGTTTGCATGAGGAGGCGAAACAGATTCACCGGACGACTGTTTTTCACAACTGTCACCGGCAAGGACAACGCTCTCATCGCCACCTGGTGGGCAAACTACAGCGAGCCCAGCGCCCTCTACAGTCTCATCGTGCTTGCAGCTTCTCAACGACTCACTAAGTACGCCGGACCTGGCATCATCACCTTTAACAGCGCCATCTATAATTTCATCGTGCGCGTGACTTTGGACGGTTGACGTGCCACTGGACACGCTCTCAGTAGCTGCACCAGCGCCCTCT